CTTGCATCTGAAGATCTGCGTCAATGCAGTAAACCAGTCGCGTTTCATTGTCTCTTTGTTTCCTGCCTGAGGATAACCTAACAAAGACCAGCCTAAACCATGGAGGCTGCTGTCTCTCAACGAGATCTCCATATATATGTATGTATACGTACATATATATGGGTGTGTGTTTTTGGGCGTGGATTTTATAAAAAACTTTTTCGAGTATATCAGAGCTGGACAGCGAAAGCCCAAAGAGAACACAGCAGCAACATTCGTCACCGAGATATGAAGCTGAGGGAGTCCGTAAATTCGACAATGATAAATTCGTCGGGTTAGGTTAGGTTAGGTCGCTCACGAAACATTTCGGTCAATGACAGTACAAACGGTAGTACTCAGTAGAGACCGTCAAAATATCTAATGTAACTGCAAAGCTCTATGAAAATCTTAGAATTATCAACTGAGTAAATCTGCAAACTCTTTTTCTGCGTCCATAGATAGACCTACGAATGCTGCAAGAGTCACACGTCTTTACGTACAGGCTGACACAGTATAATTTTAATCAGGATATGCAGTCAATTTCGCAACACTGTTAGTAATAGCTTAATGAATCAGACGGCTTTTCTTTATTTCATTTATAACGTACTTTAAAAGTATTTTTCTAAGTATGCTTGGTACTATAGTACGCACTAAACCACTTGGCAAGCGCGCCTATTTGGCCACCGCCGCCTGGGAACACAAGCCCACGCAACCGTCGATGGATCCCACTTCCATCGTAAACATTCGATCTGTCAATCTCGAACCATCTCTCATGAAAACCAAGCTACCATTTTCGGGTGACATTACTACGAATGTTGTCGCTGTAGAAATCTAAAAGCTAATAACTGGTCATGTGATATATTTTGTTGACAGCCAAACGGCTCGTACTTTCAACTGAGATGTGCTGCTTACGTTCATATGTTTTATCTGTGTAGCATGTATGGTATGTGGGTGAATGAGTCTGCGAACATGGAACAATCTCCTTTACTAGGTAGTTCTGCTCTCACTGCCTTCTACGCATGGGGTCTATTAATGCTAAAGCAGCTTCGATCACCCGCCTTGACTCTCCGCGCTGCTCCAGATCTATCTGTCATTTTTGCTTTTTCCTGCGCGCTCTCCATCCCGTTTTCATGTGTGTCTCGTCTTTGCTAGACCTGCTCATTTCATTTCCAGTAACTAACGATTCGACGGCAGGAGCTAGGGCAACCTTCCATTTGGTGAACATTCAGCAGCAGCCTCCCACAAGGGGCAATAGGAAGAGCTGCCGCAACAACAGCATCCCTAGTCGAGTCGGGCACTACTCAAGTGAATTCGTTGTCAAGCAATTCAATGTTGTCAACCTTTCTGACCTGATCAGGTTACCTCTTTTTGCCACCGAAGACCGGAACGAACGCAGTGGTAGGCCAGAGAATGGATGGAGAAAAGCGAGCAAAACTAAGCAAGCAGCAGTTCTCCGTCTCTATCCGCAATGGCTCTGTCCATCCTCTTGTGAATTTTGCAGCACTCCAGTAGTCCCATATCCACATACCATCTAGTCCCGCAGTGTCAATGGGGATCGGCCAAGCAGTGCAGAGCTAGGAAGTCGACGTCGACGGTACCAGCAACAGCCGTAGAGTCTCATCACGATAGACCTTCGTCTCAGCTCTTTTGGCCCAACTTGAGGATCATGGTTCCTCATTGCCGCTTTCTTTACCCACAGCTGCCATACTCCTTCCACCGCTAACACCCTCAATCTCAATCCCCGATTCCATCTAGCCTAGAACAGCCGATTTTTTCACAGTAAGAGTATACTAAGGTGCAGCCATATGGGTAGAAAAGCAGGACTTGGTAGAGCCTTTCATTCCAGCTAGAAGAAGAGGCTAGCTGAGTTCACTAGTTTATAACACCACACCGCATACTGAAGAGGTAAGGCAAGAGAAAAAAGGATGGGCTAGCGATGGGAGGTTGCACGGAATCGCGCAGAACAGCAAAAACTGAGGGGGGATAACGGTGACCCACACCAAACACCCACAGCTCTTCGTGCCCTGCTGGCACCGAAGAGAATGGAATGGCTCGAAAAAGTCTATCTGGTCAACCCCAGAGGACACCGCAAAGGACCAGAGATCCACTAAAGGAGAAATGTCGTTCCGTTTCGAGCAGTACTGCTGCTGCTGCTTCTGCTAGCCAGAAAATATATTTATGACAAAGGTCATGAGGGCCGGCAAAAGATTAGCTGCTCTGTCGTTACTTCTGGGCAGAGAAGGCGTAGTGCACGAGTACGCACAGCACGGCCCAGTCCGCTCCTGCTAGGATATGTAATGAGCAGCTGCGCATTGTATCAGAGCTAGCATGCGGATTATGATACATTTCAACAGAAATCCAATATAATTCATACAAACTCATAGTTACGAAACTGAATTGAACATTATATAAAATAAGGAAGAAGGAGAGTGCACGATGGATAACATATTTATATATGTATATAACGAATGCTGGAAATAGTACTTGTCGGAATGTTTAAATACATTCCTGTACATATTCCAGACACTAGAGTAGCCTTCATACGCTGTTTATTTGCTTGTATAGCCTATGCAATATCGATTGTAAGCAAAGCCAATAGGAACTTGTTTAATACCCCATATTCATTTTACATTATTTGAAAGTACACATACTTGTAGTGAATAACTTTAAAACGTTCACAAGAGACTAAATAGTCTGCGATACGAACGATGTTGCTTTGCTAAGCCGTTGCTCGTGAAAACTGCATATAAAACTGCGAACCGAAGTCACATCAATCCGGACAACTTAAAGTTGATTCTCATTGTCATGACAACTTACCAGGCACTGGTGTTTGAAAATGTGTGGGGGCCTCGCCCAAGTCGCTGTTGCTCACAGCCGATGGAATGAATAGTTACACATTTATTTATGTACGTGTATAACGTTACTGATACTGAACAAGGATTAGAGACTCGGATTCTTTTAATTAGAAAGGAATGTCAATACGACATAATATAGCGTGCCATTATTACTGTCGAAATTTTAAAAAAGCCCTTGGTTTAAAAAGGGCAACTCTGCAAATTTCGTAAATATGACCAAATTCAAGTAAGGGTTAACGTTGTATATATAATCGAAGGGCTTCTTTCAAGCGTTTGCTTCAAAAATCATCGAAATGTAGTTAATAAAGAAAACGAAAACGATAGAAACGAAAAGCAAAAATTATGGAAGCAATGTATTGAAAAGATAAGACATATACGATAGATAACGACAGTGCCTCTCATCAACTACCCAAAAGATTATGTTCTCATCCATAGACACTCAACTCGGGTAATACCTAATCCAAAAACTCTCGCTGCAGATCGCTCAGCTGTCGACGTTAGCATTCTCATTCCCTCCGCCTGCCGGTGCTGGGGGCTATGCCCTTACACCTGAGATGGAATTCGTTTAAATATATTTCATCATCGCTAAGAAGTACATATGCTGATGTACACGTGTCAGCCAACTATACATGGAAGTCCGCTGAACGTTAAATGGATTCCGTATGGTTGGCAAATTGGGGCAAGGTTATAACAGCGTCAACATGTATTTCTTGTGTCGCTTGTGGTTACTAGATCCGCTGGATTGAATTTCTGGAAGTTGGAAAAGTCGTTTCCACACAGTCGGCTAGCGTACATCAATTTCGTATCCGACCAACGATATTCGATTTATTTCAAATTGGTTTTCCCAAGGGTTTTTAAAAAATGTGTTGGGTAATTGATTCGCTGAGTGAAATAATGTCGCTGTGTATTAATGTAAATGCACCATCTCATCACATTATATTAGCAATCATGTTTCTATAATCTTGTACATCTATTTTCCGAGCCTTGCTTGCAACAGCATGGGATTTAAGATCATCAGTAAAGTGTTCGCCCTGCTCCGTCGAGTTCTACGCCTTTCAGGCATAAAAACGGCTGGAACTATGAAGGCTCAAAACAGGACCCCTGGGACACCACGAAAAACACTATGAGGTAACAGGCAATTTATTACCTGCACTTACACAATAGCAAGAAGATTGGTCAACCCCACGTGTGATTAGATTATTGATGGGGTGTTTATGATTTACTCGGTCCTGTATTTGCGGAAAATCAAAATAAATACGATACTTGACTGGGTTTTATATAGTAACTTCTTCCTAAAAGGTTATTGAATGAGATTCAAAGTGAAGCTGCTCTTGGATGGAAGCTTGTTTAACTTTCTTAAAAAAACACATACATCGAAAATTACACATTTCAGGTTCATACATTAGACGATAATGCGATATAGTTACCTACCTGACTTGCAAATGAGATGTCTCTCTGTGACACAAGCATTTAAAAGAAAACTTTTGAAAAAGCTGTACCTTGATCTTTTTCATTAGGAATCGATTCTTAGTCCATCTCCAGTGTAAGAAGAACCCCACGATCTCCAATACGATAATTAGCGTACCAGTAAAACAACTTGGCGTATTTCAGATCAAAATTAGGCTCTCCCTAAAAAACGTATTCTTGTAGAGGCCTTTCAAGGTCTTTGCTGCGTTATATCGGCACAATATATCTCAAAAATCTTCTTGAGGTCTTTTCTCCAGTCTCCAGTTTCACTGTGACAAGAAACGGGTACCTTAATTACGATCATTAGGTACCCTAAAGGCGTCAAATAAATATTTAATAAGTTACAACATGCTGCAAAAAATTAATCAGTTGTAGTAAGACCTTACAACTCATGTAGTTATAATCGCCCTTTGTAAAATTCAAGGAAATGTTGTCACTTGAACTCCATTGACCTGCTATTGCCATGTTAAATCAAGTAAATCTGTGATCTGATCTAACAAGCACATCCGCTGGAGCCGCAAGACTTTCCTCGTGCCTATGCCAATAGGGCGTTTAATATGGTTTATTAAATACTCTTATTGGTTGATTTACCTACTGGACTGCTCCACATTTAGTAGAAAAATAATAGATTTATTTTTATTTTTTCGACCGCAAATCAAAATTGCCAATTACTATAATTAAATCACCAACGTCAATCATTTCTCCTAAGAAGCCTAAAGAGTCGAGATTCTGAACTTCAGTATTGCCTGCCTAAGACAAGCTATCCATTGCCGAATTCTATATCTGCAACAGTTAGATATAGTCAGCTTTCTGCTACGATTAATACAGTTGTAAGGTATCGATAAGGACATTTTATTTCTTGAGTAAGTTGCTTGCTCTAAATATCCATAGAGATTGTACGTTGAAAAATATGCAACGTAATTATCCCACGGAAAAACACACAGTTACTTTTACATAACAGAACAAATCGTTTAGACTTGATATTTTAACGAGCTTCCTTAAAAGCTACAAATGCTGTTGATTTCCTGATGATGAACACTAGACTGACACGGTAAGTGGATAAAAAGTATAACAATTCATTTTACTAATTGGCAAGTACAAAACCGCATCACCTTGTATGTTCCCAACTAAATCAGATTTACGGATTATCTCTGTAAGTCTCCCACTAAAGCATGATGGTGTATATTCTCACCTAGGAATCTCTTCGTACCGTGTTAATGGCGTCTATGAAGCTCATAGATCGCTGCATCAGTGCGACCTGGTATACGTACCGGAAATCCCTTGTTTTACTCTTATATCTTTTCAAAGCGAAACGTCGAAAAAATCGGCTTGGTCGACCATCCCCTCTACTAAATAGGGTCTTAGTCCCGATTACTACACGTTGGAGAAGTTGGTGAAGGAAGCAGTTCTATTTTTCTTTTTATTTGTTTTTGAAGGCCAAGCAACTCGGGCTAAATAGAGCCAACAGTGTGTTTATTCTTTTATAGCTGGTCAACCTTGTATAGAAAGCCATGGTTACCTTTAAGTCACGCTAAATTCTGGTCTGGATATAGCAGACGACGGCGTCCTCTTGTTCTGTTTGCATTGGTAAAATTGCGCCACCGCAGACTGTCTACTCACATCGCGTTTTAACGGCTTTTTATCTGAACAGAAAAAGCGAGCGACAAGAGCCCTGATGCTAAGCAGCGACGATCAGGCAAAAGGACCGAAATTGTCTTGTATTGATTATATTCAAATACGACGTCTCAACAACGAACGATTCGAGATGGTAAGCTAGACGACGTTATAAGAATGATAGATAGCTGGCTGAATGTCGAACTGAACTACCGTAAATATGAATGCGGTTGATCGTTCGTAGACTCCTAATCACTACTTTTCAGAGATTATGGATTCTTACTCAATAACATGCGACTCAATCATAGTCATTGACTTTCAAATCGAATACCTCCACGAAGACAAATATGACATAGCATGGGTTGAACGTAACATGTCGATTTAGCACGTCGCCTTTTTCAGGTTGACCTTCTGATTCCTGCTTGTACGATGGAATATACTTGCGTACATGCACACTACTAGCTACTATCAGTGACTGTGATCAGGAGAGGAAACCGCCTAATCAGCGATTAGTGTTAGAACGCCCATATGACAAAAAGACTTTTTAAATAGGGCTGATACCGAAGAGGATATTTGTAGACATTGACTTAAATTGATACGATTTTATTTGAATTAATGTATTAAACATGTTTATGATCGAAGAAGGTAGAAAGACTGTGTAAGAGTTGTATATCCTGTCACAGTCTATATATGTACAGGGCAGGGGCATAAGAATACTCATAGTTGGTCAAAGTTAAAAAAAATAGGCTCCTCCTAATAAACCAAAATGCTATTGAGGCAGATCCCTACAAGTCCACTTTTCCGCACTTGCCCACCCCTAAATATTAGCATGTGAATTTTGTAATCATAATATCCTGCTATTTTTTTTTGTATAGAGACGGTTTAAGAACGCTTTACATGTTACTTGTTACATGTTACCTAAAATGCTCTCGACTGTATCATATCTTCATCGTAGTTTTTTCTAATTCTAGTTATTTTAATAGAACTATGCCTAATTTCAGGACGCTCTGCCTTATGCAAAATAAGCGAATTTCGCATTAGCTGACATCACATATAAACGTGCAGTTGCCTACACATACAGATATACGTACGCGCGACCAAAGACTACCGGCCTTGTTAATCTATAGTTAAATACAAATGCAAACCATGTTATTCCCGCATTCATACTGTTTAACGGCACTGAACACAGCTGTTCTGCCACGGGTAAGAAAAACGGAACGGTCGTTATGCCCACCCCGTATTGAACGATTCTGCCAGTCATACATTCGACCACAACCCGGGCCGAAAAGTCCTACCAAGATGGTCGGTCTAAACGACTATTGACTAATGTAGTAAAAGGCACGACACCGCACGGGATTGTAAAAGGGGAGCGAGGAGCTGACAAGAGCATGGCCCATTGTCCTACTGTGGCAGCAGGCGATAGGCAAGATTTTTACGGGGAACACCCGCATCGTTAGGCTCTGTTCTTTGGCATTGCTCACCACCGCTGAAGATAACTTCTTGTTGCGCAGGTAACAGCAGTAGAAGCAACAGCGTCTTCTTACCGGCTTACTTTATTTACTTGACTTTCAGGTTACTTCCACTTCCACTGCAGCGACACCATCATCACCAGCACCGGTTTGCTGTACAAGATGCGGGCCTTGGACGCTGTTACAGCTAATATTTAGCATGTCATCACAGTCGACGGGGCCGTGGCCGCCGTGGTAGTTGCAATCGTCAACGAAGAACGACGAACTACGGACACAAGATGAATCTGGCGGGATCTGCTGTTGATGGGGTGGCTGGCAGAGAAGACGATGAATTCTGAACGGATTTTTTTTCTAGATACATATCGATCGCGCACTACTTCTTGAGCTGTACATCCCGCTCGTTTATGCTGCCCGTATGTTGAAGCAATGGAAACAGTAAACAAACCATTTAACTAAAAAAACGACAGGAAAAAAGAAAGAAAAGACAATAACAAGCGTGTCAGTTCAATACGACGATGTTTATATCGGTGTGGTGTCCTGCCATATGATACCTGTTAAAGGAGACATGGTACGCGAATGTGCCTATCTTAGAAAAATGTGCCATAGGTAAGTAGCTGTGCGAATGTAGGCCGTGGACTACATCTGCAAGCGTTATCAGCTAGCTATATATATATATATATATATATATGAATTTTATATAAAATTGGCTATTTGAAACGAAGATGTTCCTCTATCAAGATCTAATAATCTGTAAAGAAAGGCGAATACTTTTTGAAGCAACGTGTCCGATTTCCAGAATACATGTGCTCACGTTAAAAGCAACGTTTCGAGCTGGAACAGGATACAATTTCCTGCAATCCTATTCATGGTTTTGGCTATAATCAGGAGGTCGCCATTTTAAATGCATACGCCAGCCTATTTATCACCTCTGTCTAAGTGCAGATTATTCACTATGGCTTTAAAATATTATGTTTCCATTACGACACCGGTAAGTCTTTACAAAGAGTAAAATATATCTCCATAGTTCCAGAGAGACTGTTATTTCCTCAAGTGTATCTAAGTAGTAGTCAACATAGTGTGGTCGTCAGTCGAGCTGTATAGCTAGCTTACTTTCACTTTTAAATTTGTTCTAATCAGATATGCGTCAGGCAGTGCAGGCTGCCCTTCAGCATTAATTATCAGCTCTTGCTATAAAATAGTCCGATTTTATGTTTCGTCTTTGGTTAACTATGACGCACCAATGAGAACCACGTTAGCAAAATACACAGTTCACCTGAATCCTCTGCAAACTTGTGAAGAACGTATGAACGGTTAGTACGATTTGACTCCTTTATCATTTACTCATCTTCAAAAGAACTTTTATACCTTAATAAGTCCACACTGCTTCTAACCATAAGCAGACACGTCGCAATATACGAGCACAAATATATCGTTCTATGTGTGTACTGTTATCTAAAAACAACAAACAACCCTATATGTAATCACAACATCTAATCGAGTTCGAAAGCCCACTCCTTTATAGGTGGTCTAGTAGTGATATAAATTGCCCGATTGCATCAAAAGTCGCCATTATTCGGAAGTCATATCCCATCACTTTCGCCGCTATTTGACAACTTTGTGTCAAAAAAAAAGGCCTATGCCGTATACAGATGTTATATTATATATAAGTTTCTGTTCTCATTTAAAGGGTTCCAAAGATCGGCACTGGGCGCTATTGCCTCGCAGTGTGTGCTTCGTATGCGTCAGAACTACTGACAACTAAACCGAAAGCATGCATGTTTTGGTTCGCTAATAACTTATGTTCTTACGAAAATCGGGTAGCCGCATCTTAAACTGTTCTAATATTCTATTATTTCGTCGTAACGCGTTTGCTGAACCATAGTAGATCTAGACGGTTTTCTATATGCTTTATTTTAAATATTGGTAGCATTGTCAATGCTGTGTCCTTTTTACTGTATAGTAAAGATGAAATGCGTACTTTATAAACAAGCTCTATAGAATACGCAGGCGGTCTTATTAAACTTCAATGACGGTTCCTTAAAAAGCATGCATTTTTCTCTTGATGGCCACTGACATCTTTCGACGTGTCATATCTATCCTCTTATCTATCACCCGTTGCATATTTGCTTGTATCTGTTCTTTAGCAGAGGATATGTTCTCGGTGTTCGTCTATTACTAATAGTGTCGCAGCTCAACTACTGCAAATCTTCAATGCGTGTCCCTTGCCACTTACTAAAAAAAAAGTCATCCTGTTCTGGCTGTTTTCAAATCATCCAAATATTCCCGTATCCTTCGGGGCAATCTTTTCTGACCTTTCATGCTGCTTCATCTAGAGCTCGCCACAGCACCTCTATCACTTGTTAGCGTTTAGGTTCCATACTTAAATGCTGTCGCTCTCTGCGATTACGCTATTTAGTAAGCAGAGGCTTCTTCAGTAGATTTTCTCTAACTGTTCCTGCCATCGCTTCTTGTTCTTGTCTCTTTACGGTTCCACATCTTTCGTGTCGTACTGTTCGATTATCTTTAACCACCTGAACCGCGTTATTGCGATTCGGGCGCGGGCTGCTGTCTCACCTGACTGGATACGTACACGCACTACTGACTCGTTTGCAGCGGCCTGTATGCCTGTCTGTCTGAAATCTGCCACTACCTCGTCCTTGATCTTCAGATACTTGTCAAGTTAAAGGCATGTACGCTGGCTGGCCGGAAGCCGCGTTGCCACTGCTGCTGGAGAGTCAGCGGAGCGGTAGAGCCCTCTTTGCGGCCAACTGCCTTCTTACTGTGATTTTTTGATCCACGTGCTCTGCTCGCTTTGTCTCTCCTTTCTGGACGATTTTTCGTTTTCTGCTACATTTATATTTCTCCACAGCTTTGATTAGCATTAATAACGATTTCGATATCACAGTTATCCTTAAAATTTTTTATTATCTTGAGAACGACGGGCCAGTCTTCAGCATTTCGCAACATTTTAAAATCTGTCAACCTTAGTAGATTCGAGGTTGGCAATTGGCTTTTCCGTTTTCTTCTACACAGCTTCGTATGAATTCGCCAAAGATGTTCGCAAGCGAAGATCAGTTGCTACACTAGACTAAATCTTCTTTGTGCTACTATCGCTCGGTCTAGATGGGGACATGTCCCACTGAGTGAATAGCAAGTAGCGGATACGTATGCATAATAGTAGGAAATTTCAATCGTGGAGTCGATTGTTCGCGACTTCGCACAATGCCGCTTCCGTGAGAACGTCTTCCACGAAAGAGTCAATATTTTTTTAGACTATTTCTTTTCTTCCTGCCAGCGGCCTTCATCCAGACTAGTGCCTCGCTTGTCTGCTAGATATTAACGCGCGAGTCCTTCGAAGTCAATTATCGTTAACTATAAGGCTTGCAGTGGCCGGGCTGCCAGGCGGTCCTATCTAGCGTGACAACTCGCAAGGACTAACCGCACCGAACACGTAACTTAATGAAATACTGTCCACCTTAGCCGCCACTTCTTATTCTGCTGCTGCTGCTGCTGCTGCTTCTAGAAAAAAAACTATCCGTTAGCGGTTAGCCAGAGGAGCTGGGTCAAGAGTTCTCACGATAGAACGCAGTCATGGTGCGATTCGTATTCGTGGAAATTTGCTCACATAAGAGGGCACCTCCACACCTTTACGACCGCCGATTTGATAACGCGACCGTGATACTGAGCTTCACAGAGAAACTGTTGGCTGTTCAGGTAATTAATGGTTTACCAATTAATTAATTATCCATGCAAGAATTGATCCTTAGGGTAAAGTTTCGATTTCATGGGCATCACTGCTTGGTCCCTGGCTTTCTGCTTCAGTGCGCTGCCAATTCTACTAACGTCGTGTACTTGTGCGCAAATGGATCACTTCTAATATACAGAAGAGAGACCGGCGCTGTAGACCTAAAGCTACTATTAGGCTGTTACCCGGTGGACCTTAAAATTGGAAAAGCAATTACCTTGTTGAACTAGAATGATCATTTTTTTTTAACACGTGTTAAAAATATTTTCCTTTATTTTTTACACATTTTCCCAGTACTTTGGCATCTTCTGGACAGCCACAGGCCTACCATTGGCCTTCTCACATGTAATTACTCTGTCTGTAATTTCTCGAAGCAGAGAATAGTGGGATATACTTGTTCACTAGTTGCTCTTTTCAAGCTATGGAAAGCCCCGCATTCAGAAAACATAGAAAAATAGGTGTGTTGAAGTGGCTACATATTCCTTTGCTCAATCTAGAAAGTAATTGAGGAATGGCACCGAAGTCTGGTGTTTTCATGAAGTAACCAGACCGCGCGCTGTCGATTGCCGTGCCAACAGTCCATGAGTTTCTGCTACCGAGCTCGATTTCCCTACATATTCTCTCGCCTGGTCTGTCTGCGACCGGCAGGTGAGATTGGTCCATGTTTTGGCTGTGGTCCCAGGTAGGGTTTTTTGATGATTAAAGTTCTGCAAATTTCACGTGGTATATAGTATACGTATTTCCAACTGATTTAAAGACAATCCACGAAGGCTCATTTTTTAGTCAGTTTCCACATTTTTAGCATTTGCAACACGTTATTCTGTTCGGCCTTTCTGCATGGTGTCTTCACCAATTTTAGATAAATTTTTGCGGTGCTATGGCCTTCGGGAGGCAACGGCTCGATCACTGAACTCCGACTTTTATACAAAGAATGCTGGAATATTTACCAGGTGATTTTATCTTAATTCAAATATTATTCAGTTTCGAATTCCGCTGGATCTGCTTAACGGCCTAACGTAAATATTATCAATTAATTAAAGCGCGCATATTGTATATTAAGTTCGGGCTCTACGTGAGCTGCAAAAGACCTATACATTTTGCAATACATTTTTTCATGAAGACCAAAGCAAATTCAGGAGTAAACTATTATTATTGACTGAACAGCGTTTGTGGAAGGTGTTTAAGCAGATCGATCAATGAGCTGGGTCCCTCCGTAGATCTTATACGCTCCAAGTAAATCTAATTATATATAGCATATATATATATATATATATATATATATATATATATATATATATATATATATATAATATGCAGAAAAAGAGAGATCCTTTAGTTAAATTGTAGTCATACTTTACAGATAAATATTAAAAAACCCTTTGAATACTTATTATAACTATGGTCAAAGATCAACTGAACGTTTACCTCAATAACATGTCTGCGTGCCCACGCAAAGGATTAATAAAATATATCTATCTACTCGTTATAGTTAATATAGACTAGATAGCATTCACTGACGTGTTATCAATATATGATTTCAGTGGTAACAAAATGCTGGTCTGATATACATCTAGTGGATAGATCGGTCGCAAGTAAAATATATTACACAGGACCAACCAAAAACCACCAGATAAATAACTTCAAGGTTAGTGTAGGAAACCTAAACAACTTATTCCGCTAAGAAACTAGCTCCTTTTTTTTTATATAACAAATTCAAAATTGTTAGCAATTTTGTCTCAAATTAATTTCTTAGAATTATTTTTAATGTGATAATTAATGACAGTTATCACCTAATAATAAAATAGCAAGCTGGCCGCCATTCTTATATCAATCCTTATAGCCTAGTTACTACATATGTATCATATTATTATTGTCAGCTGTGCCGGCTTCTAGGCAAGAGCTGTCTTCCTTCCCTGTTCGTTTTCGATCTATATGAGCAACGCCCTATCCTTCAGGGTCCCTCTACTCCAGGGTCCGCAAGTACTACACGCCCGGTAGAGCACCACATCCACGCGCGAGCTTCAGCTGACGTTCCGAAGCGTTCCACGCCGTCAGATATGCTGCTCACTCACCACAGAAGAAAGGGACACAGTGAAAGATCATGGTCGAAATCTGGTAGCAAGGACCGTTGTCATGGGTCGGTTACGGAAAGGAAACTACAACGCCATATGAATGCGCTTACAGCTCTCAGCCGTAAGGAAAAGGTTTATAAGATGAAGAATGCTAGAAAGAACACGGGAATGATAAAAAAAATAGTAAGACACCGCGATCGAAGAAGAACACACGCAGGACTAACAGGCCAAAGGGCCAATGGATAAATAGGCAACCGTGTCCTTTGTCTTTGTTGGGACCGGTCGAGCTTCCAACAACTAACAGCGGTCGACCCGCTCAAGCATCGATGGCGTTTGCGGCGAAACGAATCGCTAGCGGCTTAGTTCAACTGACCTGTGTCTTCCGTCGAGAAGTCGGCGGTAGTGAAAAAAATATAAAACAAGTGAAAGACAGAGAGAAAGTTCGCCCACGGGAAAATGTTATCCTAGTTCTTCCAGAAGACTTCTAGCTTCCCTCTTGTTGCTATACAGAGGCAACACTCGTCTATCACTTATGGATATGGTCGCAGTGCTACACGCTACACGTTAGTGGCCTTATTTATCGCTTGGATACTGAGCGATGTCGGGTTAGATTGGCTGAAAAGTTACCAGAGAGGAAGATCAGGATATTATACATTTGCCAGTTTGACTAAATGATACTGGTAAACCGTTTTCGTGGCGCTAATCTTTCCAAGTCAAATCAAGCTTACCTTACTTGCAGCGGCTGCACATCTACGAATCGCTCCGTGATCGTATATCGTCCTATATCTTTTTCTATACCGTTTCGTATTCTACCGCTGATCTTAATCATCCAGTCGGTTGAACCGCTTGTATTTGCGCGGTCATTTTTTTGGTTTGCCTCGTATCACTGTTGCTGATGCAATGACTGCTACTATTTCTGTAACCGTTGTTACTTCTATTCCTACCACTACTGAATCACGGGCTCAAGCAAATATTGGGGCGGGTTCAATCAAAACAAGTCTTTGGGGTCTTTTCGCACTCTATTGGCATAGACAACCACTTTGAGGACTGTAGCGGTTTCGGTACCGTCAAGTCATGTTAGTGCCTGTGATCGAAGTAAGGCAAAGGTACTCGCGCGCAGCTTTTAGGTCGCTTGTTGAGTGCTTTGCGCTCGGTTCCCGTGACGGGGCTGATCTATGCACGTAGAGCGGATGAAACGACGGGCGACTACCGACTACTGACAGCAGTCTACGGCTACCTTCTTCATCTAGCCGTTATTTATCCTTTTCTTACGTTGTACGACGGGCAGGATGCAATTGAAAGCAGCAGCTTTTGTCAGCAGCAGCGTCGGGATGGGTGACCCCTTTGATCGACTGACTCGTCGAGATCTATTTGATCGAAGCGCCTTCGACGGGACGGTGCCACGTAGCAGCATCTACAGCAGCATTGGTAGTCAATCTCGGTTAGCTCTTCCTTCCGGCCTCAACAAAAGCGATAACAACTACGCCGTTAGCGGCTGGAAGGAAAGCGGCTGGAGTACTAACACTGCATTCACATACACACATGCACTCCAAAACATCGTCATTGGTATCGATCACATTGGGCAAGCGGCCCGATACAGACTACAAATCTCCAATAGCAAGTAAGCTTCTTGATTCTGATTGTTTTGTTGACAAAAATAGTCGTCTTCATGCTTACGAAGCTAATATCAGGCAGCTGACACGACCTAATGAAACATAAAACACTGATGAGTGTATGCGTGCTCGACAGATAAACACCTCGACGCGCTCATTAGATCAAGAAACAAGCAGACGACGCAAATTATCCGAAGAGAATTTTCCGGCCCATCCTTTTTTCCACGGTCGCGATTAAAAGGTCACTGAAAAACCAATTTTTTGTGAACAAGAGTGTTTATTGCGAGGCGGCAATTTTCTGCATATCTCTATAGTTAACAATGCCTAAATAATTGTCTATATCTTCTTCATCTTATAACTGCATTAAAAAATACCAAACGTATTTGAAATTATTGTAGAATACTGGCAAGGGTAGGTCATGGAGGCAATGGGACGCAGTGCCCACTGGTGGCACGCTCCGCAATCATTAGAGATCACTGCCGCTTTGACAAGCGTAGAGGCAATAGATTAGCTACGGAGGAGGTTTTATGCGCTCCCGTTACTTACATTCGACTTACGCGAGCCATTGAATTAATAAAGATTAAATCTTTCTGTTAAATAATATAAGCACATATTTCTGACAAATATGACAATACCGATTCTTTTATGATTCCAGGTGATGGGTGAGGAAGCTAGACAAGCAACAGAACGAATAAAGCTATGGTTACATAGAACTCAATTATAGGGATATATTTTCCCATTTGTAATTGCTGGCTGAACAAGCGCCCAATACAAAACTAACCAAAAGTATGGCATAAAAGCTTACTCTTGGTAATGAAATAGAAGTTTAACGTGGTATGCAAATATCACACGTGACCGGAAAATTACCACATAGTAGCCTACTAAATGGCGTCGTATATGCGGTTAATGTTCCAGTATTGTGTAATATATTTATAATAAAGGATAACATAAGCATCTAATCTTGTCGTAACCTTTATTAAAAGGTTATTAAAATTTTATACATATTAATGTAGCACTTGATTCAAAGGTCCTTTGTGGTTTTCAACTTTTTGATTTTCGTCCTTATCATCGCTAACGACTCCTGTTTTGCGCCTTTTGCTTAATTGTTACTTGTCTTAAAGCAGCGCTATCACCCCGGAAACGGACAATCTCACCGAGCCACTAGACGATACCCTTACCTTCTACCTAGAAACATTCGCTCAGTTTATAATCTTAGATAGCAGAAAACTTAATACAAATATCCGCCTAACTTTATCTACTAAGGCTAATAAAGTGTGACATTTGAATAGCCCTAGACAGGCTAATGCGGACCAGTATGGTACTTCCATTCTTCTATAGAACACTAACGAGAGATCTAAGTTCGGTAAATTGTACCAATATCTATGGAAAATATATAATGGCTACGTGAACATATTATTAGTGCGGTGTAGATTGGTATTTGCGTTCCGACGGCCATTTCTCATTAAAGTAATCGATATTAAGATAAATGTTTGAAAGCATTCACTTGAATTGTCCTTTAACCCTGAAGCGTGTTCTTCGCAAAATTTCGCTGGGAAAAAGACGTCTGCCCGCGTGATTCGTGCTTTAAGGGGCACATGTAATACATTACGCCTTGGTCACGCGTGCTCTCATATGTAGGTACATTTGCACGTGTGCAGCGTCTAAAGAATATGACTAATCAGATCGGTTCTAAATATGGCTCCGATTATACGCTGCTGTTCATAGGCCTACGATAACATTCGGTGTGGCCTGCCATGTACTTGTGTATACGTGAGCAGTATTGCAAATAGAATCTACATGGCCAATATCGGCGCCCCGCCGCCAATGGCATCGTTACGCGGCTAGATCTGACAATTGAGAATAGAAACGGCATCACTCTCTTTTGCAAAACAGATAACAACTGCAGCTGTATGGCGAGCTAGTAAATATTGTACGTGTATGTGCATGTAAGTGGACAAAGTGGAACGCGATGGCAGGGGTGGCGGAGACGACGACGCTAGCGAGGGTTGCCCAAAATTATTTTCGCCAGTCAGATTTCTCTAGCAGCGTGACCCGAAGCATGTCTTCGTGTGATTTTCGGATTAAAACCTCACTGTACGATGATCGAGATACTCGAGAAAAATTTCTTGTCGACGCCGATGCCGCGACCGACCGTCTACTGTCCGTCAGCTTAGATCTGTCTTTCTTTCACTGTCTCTCTCTCTCCTTGTTATTTTATCTGTAAGGTCGTGTTACTGGCTTTGCTATTCCAGAGCAAAAGAGCTGATTCCTAGAAACAGGAACGCAGGAAGAACTACTCGAAAAAATTTAATCAACTGCCCTACCCATATTTCATTTTGTGCCCGTACATGTTCGGACGTGTCCGGGCGCATTTTAAGGTCGGTCTTTGCCATCTTAAAGTCAATATCGCTGATTAGCATATCACATCATTGTGTCGCTGAGCCAATTTGCGGTAAAGTGACCCACTGTTTTTCCGTCAAATGGAAATGCACTAATATAGATGATAATTTAAATATACATACCGACATACTGTCGTCATGAATATTATGCGATGGTGCTGTAGCTTCATCCACGGGTACATTCATATATCCTCCTTCCGTTTGTGCATAGATAAAAAAACGTATATTTTCCACAAAGAAGGTCTAAAATTCTACTACCGCTATCTATTTTGATCTGGCTTTCGACCTGGTCACCTATCTAGGGGTGTGTACACATGCACGAATCAGAGCCACTCTAGATCAACTCAGTTTGACGTAGAAACGCCTCCTTCCTTTCAGAAGCTTGCTTTCGCGCCGCAAGAACTGCTCCTTTTAAAAAGCACGTTTTAGCAATGGTATATGTTTTCCGAATGCGTATGAAAGTAAAACATAGTTTGAGGGTAATGATGTTGTTGCCAATTTGTACGAACTATGATATTAAGCAAGCTTTTGAATAACTGGCTGGAAGAATCCAACTGATTGTTTGAGTCGATTCTCGATTCATAAAAAATAATTTATAAAAAAGCGGAAAAAGAAAGTGAAGTTAAGTAAGTATACTCTTTAGATTTCGCATACTGCCTTTAGGCCATACAGCCGGTCAAGCACGAGGCCCTCTATATGTAGTACGGCTTCATACAGAACAAAGTTAGCTGAAATCGAGCACTATGTATCCAAACGTATGTATCTGGTATTTTCATTGGTTACAGCTATTTTTACATTATAGATTGCGTACATCACCAGTTCAAGAAAACAGTTATATATATATATATATACTAATAGATTAAAAAGCCAATTGACGTGAAAAGCTTGACGTGATTAGGATGATAATTAATTCATAATCGATTTTCTTCCTCTTTATTTTTTATATACATAATAAATAGCATTTATATTGATTCATGCATGGACTTGTAGTCGGGTTCTTAAAACCCTTCCGTGGCGCTCGGGCGCGTCAGAGCGAAAATTTTAAGCTTAGAACACGCTGCAGGTTCCCTTTTCGATTTTTCAAAAATCCAAAAGTTACGTACATACCTTATAGCACGAATAAAATACAACGCATCTTTACGAATGCTCTAAAATGTCTAATGGAAACTGGGCAGTCGTTAGTCCTTCATGTTCGATCGATACTTGACCGAGTAGCAAAAAATCGCGTTGAGGGAAAGTGTTGTATTAAGCTTTCTACACAAATAATGTTTGTACGAGCCAAGCATCTGAAATTTTTATAATTTACTAGCGAAAAACGACCTTTGATCTTTTAGGGTTAGAAAAAATTACAGCGGAAAAATTTCCGCAGTAAATCGGGCGTGTCCACTTCGTGCAATTCGTTGAATTCCCATTTGGTGCAAAGACCACATACATTACTTCAATAAAGACAACATTGGCCATCTGATATATTAACGAGCTATGTTAAAAATGTCGGAAAAAATACATAACATTGTCTAAGCTAGTCTTATTGGACTATTTAAAAAGCAGCAGGTTTTTCGAGTCTTGCAAACAATTGCTTGTCTTTTATTTGCACAGTTCCAAAATGTGCGCTCCTTTTACATCTTCCAAAAAGAGCCTTCGACCGTTTCTAATCGGCGTTCATTTCGCTTTACCGTTATTTCATCATCTCCACTTAAATATTGGGCCATTTCTTTTTATCTTTCTACACGTGATTTCTTTTTCCAGCATCTATTTCTTTATATTCTCTTTAATAATAACTTATCAAGATAAACTATGACGTGCCGCAGGCTTGAACATCGTTGCACGGCCGAGATCCTTTCATTAATTTTATCGTCTTACTATGCCATAATACATTCTATCCTCTACGACGAAGTGTATTTTTACTCTGTTGTCGAGAAAATCTGTCATTCCATTTCCGTACATCCGTACGCGTTCACGTGTCCTCAATAAGCCCACCGGGAACATACGTTGATGTACTACGTTACAAGTTCAAGGGAGAGGTATTCAAACCAGCGAAGAATTGAAAAATCAAGTGATTCAGCTCATACAGAGTATATATAGATATATATATATATATATATATAGAAAACCGAAAGACATAACGACAGAAAGAGAATTGGGGCAAAAATCAATCAAAATTTTTTAACGGTTTTCAGTATACTACTAAATCACGAGACGAGTGAACTTCAGTTACACACGGTAGCAAATTCAAAGAGAACCAGCAAAAATTAAAAAACAGCAACATAATCACGTGAAAATTTAATATATCTAACAACATTTATGCGGTCGTTCTAAGTGTTGCTATATATAT